TTTATTTTTTGTTTCAATATTTATCAGGGAGAAAAAATTTGGTTAAAATGCCGTACTGTATGGTAAAAACATTTCTGATAGAAAAAAATGTAAATCTGGTAATAACCCAAAATATAGGGTATTTAAACTATCCATATGGTAAGCGTAACCGTTCATATTATGGATACGGTTTACAGAAATTTTGATTTTCAAGAACTACTATATACTATATATTACTATATATTATATACTACTTTTTACTATATATTGAGTAAAAGTACAAAACTGAGAAGCAAATGTTACCGAATAATTGTGTTTATGACATGATCTGTGGTATCATGATAAAATTACCAAATTTTACCACATCTACCAAATTTTAATTCATATTGTAAAGAATTATTTTATTGTTAATTTTACCAAAAGTATTACTAAAGCGCTTCGGAAATATTACCGCGCTTATTACCGGTAAATTTTACTATATTCTGATGGTTTTGACAATACTTTTTTTCTCAGTAATCAGTCATTCAATTGAAAGATAAGTTGTGGGTAAGGTTGTTGCTGATATTTAAAATCCATTTATGTGTGCGCAACTATCTATCGATTTCTTACAAATCTAGTCTATAAGTAATTATATTATAAATCTAGTCTATAGTAAGAAAGTCTTAGTTTAATCTTTCTAGTCTACAAAGAACATTTTTTATATACTTCTGAAATAACAAACCTATAACGTCACAATGAAAAAAAAATGGCATAAAATGATTAGACCTTAAGAAAAAGATGATACAGATTATTCTGAAAATTGCCAACAATTTACAAACATAAATAGAAGCCGAAGTAATTGCACGGCTCTCTGCGTGATGCTTAGGAAAGTATTTATTTATTTATTTTAATTTTAAGATTACCTACAAATTTCTTCAGCAGATGGCTCTACTGACCGCAAAACTATAAAACAAAGTTTTTGCTATATCTCAGACAATTGCAACTAAAATATTGCTTTGGGTGCCTGTTATTTTTGTCCTTAGACGGAACCACAATTGTTACTTTTGAAAATATATTTTATAGATTCAAATTGCAGTGCCATCTGTTGACCTTTCAAATTAATTTTGAGATTTTGTGAGAACAAATTACCCAATTTTCTAGGGAAAAACGCAGATAAATAAAACATTTCTATTTTTTCCTTAACTAATTTTTCATATCATCTGTCAGATTTGCGACATCTGGTAAGAAGCAGCGTTGTACAAATTTTTATTTTGCATTTTTTCGGCATAGATTTTTTACATAATGATTACGTGCATATAACTTTACGCTGTTTGTAATTAAAGGAGAGGTTTGGCAGAGGTTTAAATATTTCAACTTAAGTAGTTAAGTAGCTATGTTAGCTGATTGAAAACGGGAAAAAAAGCTAGCAAAAGTTCTGAGCTAAAGGTTAGCTGACAGAAAAAAAGGTTAACAAAAGTTTTACAACAGTAAATAAACAATGTATGCTATCATAACTTCGATTGTTACCATTTTACTATAATTAAAGCCTTAATTCATTTTTATTGAATTTAGACAATTGGAAATAATTTTATTCCTAAAGATATTATTCTTAAAGCTAAATTAAAATAAATTTTTATTGAAACAAAATGTTTTTAAAAATATTATTAAATGAAGTTATTTTTCAAACTCCACGATATTATGCCCAAAATGAAAACTGCGCACTAACGCCATACCTCGTTTGATTAGTTAAAGGTCCAATTTCTTTAAAAAAACACATCAATAACTAAAAATATATTATTATTTAAAAATGTGATAGAACAGTCAAAAGATTGAATCAAATATTTTTGAAATTTACTCTCTTTTTAAGTAATGTTGCGTGATATGTTTATGTTTGTAAGGCCTTGACTAAATATCAGTACCAATTAAATATTGGTTATTGTTTTACTCAAAATAATTTCATCATCAATTCATTTAAACAAAAGAATATCTCTTCAACACATTAAAAGTCAATATTTTTAAAAGCGTTGGATACATAACTTTATAAAAGCTCCAAAAATTAGAAATAAACCAAATTTTTGATAGTATTTATTAATTTTTCGACAACTTACACTAGATAAAACTAACTGCGTATTAAATTATATTTTTCTTCCAACGTTGCCAATAAACGATATAAATATAATGGTGGCTGCTATGTGACTTACTATGTTTTTGAATTACATTTGATGGATTTATTTCTTTTTATTATTTCTATTGGTTTTTTGATTATAGATAAGCAATTGAATGAAATAAAATCAATATACTTTTAGTATCAATGGTAATGGAAAAAAGAGTAGAAATAATTTACTTTTTTTCTTCCAAAAATGTATTCTGCAATCAAATCAAATGATCTGCTTTATCGAGTGAAATTTTACATTCCTTAAACAATCTTCTTCAAAAATGCTTATATAAATTTTAATGATTTTTGCAATTACATTCGCCTTCGCCATTTTTACAATTGCATGAGGTGAACCGAGTTCGAATCTCAGCAATAGCTGATCAATACGAATTCCGCATCCGGCTTGCACCAGCAACATGCTGATGTAAAATATCCTCGGTGATAGACGGATCATAGGTAAGAGTTCCCTTGCCGTGAGGCTAACCATGGGAGGTTTCCGTGGTTTTCCTCACCATGAGACTCAAATGCGGGTTAGTTCCATCAAAAAGTCCTCCACGAAGATAAATTTTTCCCAAAACATGATCCAGGAATTTCCTTGTCTTCTGGATTGAGTTTAAAACTACAGTGCTACAGAGTTAAACATTTGCAGACGTAAACCCAAAATTGGGTCTCCTGTTCAATTACGGTTATGAAATTAAATAAAACTTTAGATGCATAAAATATTCTAATAAAGGGACATAAATTTTATTATTTTTTTGAATAATGAAGTTTAAAGATATTTTTTAATTTAGAGCTCATTACATGAAAAAAAATTATTTAGTGTACTTTAATTTTGATAAGAAACAGAAAACCTAAAAAACACATACTTATATACATTTATTTAAAATTTCTACGAAAATTCAAATAACAAAAACTGTTAAAAATCTCCCAACTATCTATATAATCAATATTTTTAAAAATATCATTTAAAGGAATTCAAATGAGAATTGTGCTTTAATTATTTATTTAAAGTGCATCAAACATAGCATATCATGACTTTAATTACTAATCTGTGAATAAATATAAAAGGTATCCTGAAATGAGAAAAAAATATAGCCTAAACTACCGTAATATGTTAAAATGTACCGTTTTCTAACTCTATGGGAACACCAAAAAGCTCAATAATTTTTACCAAAGTGCTTTGATGATGATTTTGGTAAAATGAACAATAAAGTATGGTTTATAATACGGTACCAAACTCCACTTTTCTCTAGGTAGTTATGCCACTGTATTTCAGGCTGAGGTCTATGCTATCATCTTGTACTGCAGGATATGCTTAGACAAGGGACATCTAAATATGCCTATCCACATATGTTCTGAAAGTTAGGGGCTGCTCTCCTATCCCGATAAAGGTGTAAATTCACCTCTTCACTACGGTGGAGGTACTTCTCGGTCCTATGTGACCTCTCTGCTCATAACAAGGTGGCATTGGGCACCAGGACGTATGGGCATCCGTGGAAATGAACTGGCTAACGAAGCAGCACAGGCTGGCTCCAGTGCGATTTTCTGGGACTCTCTCCCACATCATTCAGGGCATCTATATTCAAGCTCTATGGCAAAATTGTCCATGAGCAATGGCGCAACTCACATGGTCAGAAAGAAGCGAAAGAGCTAAATCGTCACTGTCCTAGTGTGCGTCAAAAAAGCTTCTTAAGCTAAACAGGAACAGTTTGAGGAAGATCAATGGTCTTCTTACTGGACACTGCACCCTCAGGAGACACCTAAACATAATGGGTATTAAATCTGAGTTTCTTTGTCGAAGTTGTCATCTTGAGGAGGAGACTTAACGACATATACTTTGTGATTGTAAGGTCTATTCTACTCAAAGATTTGAGAATTTTGAGCAACATTGCATTAAATCCGAGGATCTGTAAGGCAATCCTGTCAGGAGTTTGCTGAACTTTATTTCAGCTATAAAACTTTCTTGTTAATCATGATTTATGATACATAAGACCTCTGCTCGATGTAGTCTTCTCTTTGGAGCTGTCCAACCTCTAAATCTAAGTCTAATAGCTTATAATATGTGAAAAAATTTGGTAAATAAGGTAAAATTTGGTAATTTTGTTATAATATCTTAGACCCTGGCAAAAAATCATTTATTCGGTTAAGTTTACCCTTCAGTTTTGTATTTTTTCTGAATGTATGATCAGAATTTTCGGTTAACCATAACTATATGAGAGGAAAAATTACCAAATGAATGGTTTAAATAATGTCCGTTTTAGCTTTATTAACCAGAATTAAGTTTTTTTTCCCAGAAATGTTATAACATTCAGTAAGTTAATTTCATTAAAATTCTTTCTTCTGCATGTGTTCACGTTAGGCAAATAAATCAGAATCTCTGGATAGTATTCTTTCATTTACGTTCATTTTTATTTATTTAAGTATGAAGATTCATTAAATTATAACATCTTGAGTGAAACTTTTACACTTTTCTTAAAAATTTTATTCATAAAATATATACCTGTCACTCACTCGCTGAACACATGTTTTGATGACTAGCCAGGCTGCTTTATCTCATGTCAAGAAAGAGTTTGTTCCCAACTATTTCGATCTTAGATAATAACAATTACTGCCGTAAAGAAAAGGAATTGCGAATTAAGATCAATATCATATAGTTCATTATACAATCAATGCATTATTCAGATATTTGCTGAATAGATTCTATGCAAGTTTTCAAATATATTGTTCAAAATTGAAATTCAATTTCCAATTAGTTATCTCCAAATTTTATGCTAAAAGATTGTCTTGTAAAATCAATCTTAATTAATTTGCATTAGTTAATTTTCTTTAAAAATGAATTATATTTCTTTTTGTTTCATACTAATTTCTGTATTTTTTTATTTTTCAGGTTTTAATATCAGAGAAGTAAAAAACGGGACTCATATGTAAGTTTAATATATTACTCTTCATATTCAATGACTATATAAACAAAAATAAATAACATTGATTTACTTTTACAGTTAATTAACATTTTTTCTCAAAATTAATAGCTTGAATACCATCTTATTTACGGTTATTCAACTGTTTTGCTTGAATACGGTAAAATAACAATTAAATAAATTGTTATTGTAACCAGTTTTCCCGAGAAATTTCTGAATTTCCAAGAGTATGTATGTATGTATGTATGTATGTATGTGTGTATGTGTATGCGTGTATGCGTGTATGCATTATGCGAAGGTCACATAAAATGTATAACTTTCGTTGTCTTTAAACGGTCACCCAAGAAGTAAAATTTTGCTATACAAATTATGTAGTAAATTGCTTGTCAAGCACCTTTAAATGGTTCAACGATTTTACAGTCACTCATTTTAAGTTAGATTTCGGCAAAGAACTTTTATTATTTAAGTAAAACTTCAACAATATGTATTATTTCAATTAAGTGCCTTAAAAAATAAAATGTTTCTTGGCATAAAATTGGTTCAGATGCAGGACTGTTGTGCAAAGCCGAAGATGTGTCCCAACGTACAACAAGGTTTCTTTTTGCCAGATTAAAATTTCTATTACTGTCTTTAAACTGTTTAATAGTACTAACAAATTTTTATTTTAAATTCACAGAGAAAATTGCTGTGTTTTCAAAAATCCAATTAATATTTCCGAATTCAAAAATTAAAATGTGAAACGTGTCTCGAGGAGTCACACTTTTCCCTAATGCGTCTCCAATTACAAAAGATGCGCCCAAATTACTTAAGCAATTTTCGGAGTTTAAAAATTTCTCACTTTGGAATGCAACTACCAACCTACTCGAGAATATTTTTTTATTGAAAGCTTTTATTATTTTTTATTATTTATTTATTTTTTTAAATTAAAAGTAAATTAAAATTTCTTTTAATAATATAATATTTTTGAGTAAAATCTACTGTGTTTTCTATTTGCATGGGAATGTTTCATTTTCATCACTCTAATCAAACTTCTTTAAAGTCCAATAAATGACATACAATCACATTTTTTTTAAATGAAATAAAAATACCTTTTTTAAAGGAGAGTCGGATTTTTTTTATTAAAGTTTGAGAACAACTAAGCAAAAATTCCAATTTTCTTTCAACACAAGTTTCTTTAGCCTTGTAAAAAAACAAATAGAAAAGAAAAGAAAGAGTTGAAGTTGATTTTTTACTTTTCACCAAAGTACATAGGAAGATTACTTGACTGATAGGTTTAGTAAAATCGATTATTTCCAAAACTCTAACTCTATTTTATCTTGTTCTTCAGCCAAAGGGAAAACTAGGACATACTAATGGATATAAAAGTATCGGTTTTTCAGATTTTGAGACAAAATAGATTTTTAAAAAAAATCGCTGTGATAAAAAACCTCTTAAACACGAAAATCCGTAAGGAAATGATTTTTCAAGCTGAAAATAAAAATATTAATATCATTAAACTTTCTTTAATAGGTGACATCTATCTTTTTTATTTTTAACTTTTTTTTGAGGTTTCACAACTATTTGGTTTGAAAGTCCTTTTGATTAAGGCTTTTAAAATAATCTTCAAAGTTATTATTTCAATAAAACATTGTTAGGAATGACAATGTTTTGCGAATGGTATTATCTTGTTATTTTGGTGGCACTGAAAATTTTATTGTATATATATATATATATATATATATATATATATAGACTTTTTAATAATTATATTTAAAATAAAAAACATTTATTTGTTCAAACAGATGGGATGCTGCAAAGATCTAATTATTCGTCACTTCCAGCTAACTTTTTTTTTACACTTTAATTGTAATAATTATACTCCTAATATTAAATTTGTTTTTAGGTTTATTGATGGTTTAATTATCTTTCATTTTCAAAGTTACTCAATTTTGTTTAATAATATTTACCAAAAGGATTTAATCTTACTTTGTAAGTATGACGATAATATTAATTTGAATTTTTTTGGATTTAAGTATTCAAAAAGAAGAAAAAATCTGCATTGTTGTTTTATACGATAACAGGAATAATTTTAAATTTAATATAAATAAACTAGTTACACGGAATTCTTATGTTTCTAAAAACATTAATTTAAATATTATTTTTAATCAAATAAATAGAATTAAAAGGATTTGTAGTAATATTTTTCAATCCAAAAATCAAATGGACAAACTCTTCTAAAATTTGAAAAAAAAGGAACAATGGATGTCTAACTTATGTTGCATAATATATGTATATATAAATATAATATATATTTTTAATGTTTAAATTAAGATAAATAATATTTTTTTAATGCATTCAATTCAATTTCACTTAAAGAACATAAATGCTCCTTCATTTCGAGGATTGCCACAGATTATTGAACTTGTTACTTTTCCTGCCGCATGCCCCTTGGTATAACATTTTCCACTCTCCCAAGGTACAAGTTACAAGGTTTTAAAAAAATAAAAATTCAAGGCAATCTAAGTAAACTAACATTATCTTCTCGTAACTGAAACAATGAAAAGTATTATCTTATATAACTAATTAAAGTTCGGTTTAACAGAGTATAATAATTTAAAATCTAATATTAAAAACAACAAAAATAAAAAAATATATTTAAGTAATAGAATTTTCCATCTCTCTCTAAAGGCATTAATTCAAAGCTTAAGATGTAACTTTTGCTTTCATTTTATCTACAATTCAAAGTCACAATTAGGAAAATAATCTTGCTAATGTTGTCATTAGGTTCTTATCAATTTGCCAGTGCCCCAAAGTATAACCCTAATCTCCTGTAGTAATGTGACTCAAATTTTGTTTTCAAATAAAACATTCATAAATCAATATTGATGGTATTTTGATACTTAAATTTAATCAAGCATATCCCATGATATGTCCCTAAATTTAATAATTTGTATGTCTTCTTTACTTATAAATACGGTGAATAAATCCTTTTAATCCCTAACACTTAAAACTAATTTTTCATTATTTCTTACTTCAAAAATATCTCAATAATGTCGTCTCTTCAGTCAAATGTTACTAAATCAAGGAAGATAATTTTTATTAGATAATATAAATATTAGGTTTCCTAATTTGTGAGAATTTTATTTTGCAACGTTGTTACAGAAATATTAAACTTATGATCAACAATATATAATTATGATTTTGTCATTCATATAATACGTGTTTTTGAATACTTGTTAAAACACTCTTACCTGTAAGCAATGTAGCTTGCTATGAATTTGAGAGAAGTTTTAAAGCCATCCTAAACGTGAGCAAAATTGATACACATTTCAGTTTCTCCAAAAATTTATAATGATCGATAGTAATGTTTTACTTATAAAATTGAATTTGTAAGCTAGCTTTTCAGTCAATTTTAGATCATATGGGCAAATGTTAAGGTTTACTTCCATTTCTAAATCAATTAAATCACCCACAATATCAGCTAATTGCCCTTCTCACATATTAAGTTAATTTGTCTCTTTATTCTATACAGTGAATGAAAAGGGAATTTTTTTTTGCTATATATGAATAAAGCAAAACAAATAATATCACAAACACACTTTTATCGATGTCCAAACACGGAATAGAAAAGGGAAACACATAGATTCAGAAAAAAATACAAAACAAGTTAATAGCAAGGAAAAGGGAATAAGGGACTTGGGATTTCTTGATTAGCAATATACAAATATTCTGCAAACGTTGTATATCCTACCCCCATCACCCTTGTTTGTTATCAATTTTCTATTTTATTAACTTGTTCAAGTTTTCCGCCTCTCCCTGATTAGCCACGTCTTTTTTTCTTCCATGCTGTAACTTGCTTTGAGTTTTTCTTCTGCATATCTATGATTTCATCCTTCATTCCGCATTTAAACATTAATGAAAGTATTTCTTAATAGAATCGAAAATATAATATGCTAATTTATATGGTATTATTTGCGCTTTTTTACGTTATTTACCTTGATAAATAAAGAATTCATTTTAGCATATCCATAGCAAGTAACACTAAACTATCAATTTTAAAATTTTTAGCAAATGGTTTAGATTCCTTAGAGCTTCGCTCTGTACAAATTCTGAATTGCATTATGGTAAAAAAGAATCGGTACTCTGAGTGTCAGTCCTATTAGTCGTAAAATCTACGGGAACGTGTTTCTGAAATATCACTAAAATGTTTTTATATGTGGTTAAATAAAGGATTTGACTATTCCAGCAGAGAAAACAAGAAACATATTTTATGACTTATTTTAGTGGGACAATGAAACAAATCAAAGCTTTAGGTCCTTTGTAACTTGTAAATTGCAAAATCTATTTTTTCCAAAGAAATGCAAAAAATAAATAAATAAACAAATACATAAATAAAAGAATAAAAATTATTAAGATAAAAAAATGGTGGCTGCACAAATTTTTATCAATAAAGCCTTTCTTTTTAAAGAGAGTGCATCTGAACCAGCAGAATACACGATTATACGGATGAAAAATAAATTGTTTACATAATACAAATACATTTATTTTTTAAGGCCTGTTTAGACGATCCAATTTCTTGGACAGAGATTGATTGATATTGATGGAAACTTGTTTTGCTTTGAGCTTGGATCGTGTAAACAAACATCCAAGAACTTGGTCCAACTTCTTGGACGATAGTAGAGCATGTTCTACTTTCCATCCAAGTTTTTTCTCCCTTAACCAATCAGCGTCTTAGGTTTTGTGACGTCAACAAGCTGGCAGCAAATTATATCATTTTGTTGTGGGTTTTCATAGATTTTAGTCCAAATAAATTGATCTGTTGAGGTTTATTTGTGTTATTATGATTTTATTTGAATTTATTTAGTAATTTTAAACTTATGTAAGTATTATTTTATAATGTTGAATATGAACAATGCGCATGCGCAAGTTTTTCTTTCAACGAATCAGCGACATTCAAGAACTTGGATAGTGTCAACGAATCATCCAATTTCTTGGACAGAGAAATCCGTCCAATTTCTGGGATTCAA